CACTCACAGACTGAAGGGAATCATCTTTTTCAGTAGCCATAATAAAAAAAAAACAAATTCCAGAAATAACAGATTGCAGAAATACCAGATTTAACAGATTGCAGAAATATCAGATTTAACAGATTGCAAAAATACCAAAAAGCTGTGTTTGAGATTAAGTTTTGTCCCATGAAATCTGGCTCTAATACCATGTTAAACAATCCAAAGAAAAAAAAAAGGAGGAGGCTAGGGTTTTATTGATACTACATTAATTAATTGAATGCTAAAAGATGATTTAACCTAAATACAAAGAGAATATATATAGGCTAAACAAAGGAAACTAAAAAGGACTATTCTACCCTTAATAAATAATAAATAATTCTATATTTCTTAACAAAACAGACATTCCTTCTTGCTTGAGGCCAGAAATTGATTGTTTCAATTGATAGATTTTAGATGCATTTGATTGAGAAAATCGGTCATTTAGATACATCCAAATTTGTGCTGCAGTTTTAGCATACAAGATACTTGGACGAATTTCAAATAAGGCAGAATTAAGAATCCAACTTCCAACCAAATCATTACAACGTTCCAAGTTGGGAACATCATCTTTCTCCTTTGGAATTGGGAGTGACTCATCAACAAAGCTTTCTTTTTCTACACACTACCATTTTTACTGCATGACTCCATGATCCATAATTGTCTCTTGTCAAAAGAGGTGTGACAAGAACTTTAGAGGGAAAATATTTTTCAACTTTTGGTCACGTGACCATATTTTCTTTAAAAACAAGGAAAATATTTTCTTTAGGAAGGAAAATTTTTTATTTTTCAGGTAATTCACTCTCTCTCTATCTCTCACTCTCATCTATCCTCCTTCTATCATTTATTCACCAATTAAAAATGGACAAGTATAATATTTTCAATGTTGAAAACTAAATCAACCAAACGCGTTTAATCAATAATTTTCATACAAATAAATTCTAGACAATTGAATTGCCTTGTGTTTATTTTCTTTTCATGCAAATTTAATACTCGCAATAAAAAACGTACTCTAAAATCTAAAAGATTGAAATTTTATAAGACGTAAATAAAATTGATAACTCAAAAAATCTAAAAGATTAAAATGTACAAGAATGTATCTTCATCCAATAATAGAGAGAGGGAAACAAGATCCAATTTATCAAGATTTTTAACTAGGATTAAACTTCAAACCATGATAGCCCAAGGTAGCATGGTTATAACTTGCAACTACATTCACTAGAATGCAAAGGATAAATATATAAATGCGTGATTATCATATCTAAATTAAGTGTTTTAGATGAGACAAAAAAAAGAAAATACAAATAAACAAGAAAACATGATGCAGAACTCATGTCTAGGCAATATTGGAAACTTTTAGCATACGAATAAACAAAAAGATCGGAACAATTTGTAGGAGAATGAAATACTTCCATTACAATATATAAGGACCTAAAATTGCAGTGTATGGTAGGAGTAAAGACACCTCCCAATTCACAGGACAAAACCAACAGTACATATAATATGGAGGCACCTCATTTATCAGTAACATGATCTGCCTTAAATTATTGAATGCCAAAATAAGAAGAGTTACAATCAGTAACTTGCTCGACGATCAATTACTTTAATTGATCCGTCTACTGTTTTACTCTTGGTAGGTGGGAAATTCAAAGATCAAAAGATCACACACATCCTCTATTGAGCCTTTCTTTATACTTTCAACATTTTAATGAAAGCTCAATTCATGACATATTCAAGAAGTGGCAACGTCCTTTTTCAACTAGGAAAATTGATTAATAAAAGGAGTTCATTTAGTCTAAAACAAACTTAGCACATGTTTGAAAAATGTAAAAATGAAATATTTAGTAGATTTTTTAATAAAAGTTAATGGAATATGTGGTTGAAAAGTTAATAAAAATTTGAAGTCTCATGAAATATATGGTTAAATTAAACCCTTGTTTAGTTCCTATTATTTTCAAAATATATTTTTCTCTCTTATTTTTAATCATACATTTTTTGATAAAATAATATTACACACAAACTTAAAACTTTTCTTTATTTTTTAATTACATATTCTTCATCAAATCATTATTTCAAAATGCATTTTTCTAATTGTCGACTTTAAATTTTTATCAATTATTATTTAGAAATAGTAAAAATATTGTTAACTATAGATAAGTTGAAACTTAACATGGATGTACCGATTCAGACGACACATGGTTTCTTTGTTGTCAAGTCAATAATTTGGGATCATTGGAGGGGCAGTGATCGCAACTGATTTAGTCTTTGATTTAGATAAAATAATTGATAAAAATTTAAATCAATGTCAACAATTAATTTTAACCATATATTTTAGGACTTTTATTAACTTTTCAATCACAAATTCCATCAATTTCTATCGAAATCTATTAAAAATTTGATTTTTAGCTAAACTAAACAGAGACATGTTTACAATGCCCACATTTCTTTCGGTTGTAGATGCACAGCTTTTTTCCTTCAAGGAAGGATCGTCACTTGCACACAGAGTCCAAATCTGCCTAGACAATGTTGAAAACAACTCGCTCTAGCTTATACCAAAACTCATGTTGAATTCTTTTCACCCATGTGAGTCTTTATTGTTAGATATTGTTGATTTGTTACAACTTGTCGATCAATGTTTCTATTCATTAGTATATAAATGGGAATAAAATGGCATACATGCTAGCGTTAGGGTTGATTCTAATATTTGAGTCCCTGTACGAAATTTAAAAGAGTGCCATTCTCTCATTTAACTAAGAAGCACGAGTATACATATATACAACCATATTAAGAAATGCTTAATTATTTCTATGTTGCTTACTGCTTCTACTTCATGAAGAGGACTTTACGTCATGTTTTCTCAGATACAAATACAAAGAAAGCAATACTTCCATGGTGTTATCAATTTTATTTCCACAAGTGTACGGATCGTTACAAGTAATGTAATGGACATACGAGTCTGGATTATCATTCTCGCGAGAATTATAATTTAGCACTTAATTTAATTTCTTTCTAACTACTATTCAACAAAGCAAATAAAGATTTTTATGATTTATTTGTAATCTAACTACTTAACAAGACGTGGATGCACACAAAGATTGATTGATAATTCAAATAATAAACGGATATTAGAGCGGAACAATTTCACCTATTGATCATCTTTAAGTCTTAAATCAAGATTCATAAATTTTAAGGTAGTGTTCGGCCAAATTCTCCTATTATATATAATTTATTCCTTTCGAGGTCTCATTGAGCCTATTTAACTACCTCAATTTCATATCTCTATACGAATCAAACTTAGTTAAATGAAAGATTGATTCTAAAAATTCATATATGACCGCAGTAATTAATATATGTATCTCTACACATTATATTACTTTACTAAATTTTAATATTTGGTCTAAACAAGTAATCCGCATTTCTATGTAATTTTTATTCACGAAATCATTGCACCAAGTTCTTCTTCTCGTTCCAAATCTTGATTTCCAACTATTGAATTGTCCTTTTTTGCTCTTGAGTTTGCTTTCTAACTCTCAATTTGTGTTTTTGCCTCTCAATGTGTGGAATCTCCTTCAAAAGTATAAGACAATTGTATTTATATGTGCCTCCCAGTATGTAGAAAGTAGGATTTTCTTCTGGACTTTAAAACGGGCCGAGATTGTGCCCTAGTATTGTCTAGGCAGCGCCGCAAATCCAAGTTGGTGGCGCCTCAACGCGACACCACCTCTTGATGCTCCATGGTGCCATAGTGCCAAGGCTCTGAAGTTTTGTGGCACCACAATGCCTCAGCTCTGTCCTCCAACTTTTTATGGCGCCATAGTTTCGGCGTCGAGGCGCTACTCGTCCAACAATATGGTTTTGCCTGTTTTGCTCCTTTATCCAAAAGTTCTTTTCAACCCATGCTAATAGCTTTAATTAATGACCTTTTTCGTATCTTTCATCATCTCAACAATCCTATAAAACAACATTAACAAATACATTAAAAACGTTCAATACACTTAAAATCTAGTTTACAATCAAGTTAAAATTGGCTTAAACTCATGAGTAAAACACAATCGTCACATGGCATTTAAACTATTCAATATTGTCTTATATTCTTGAATCCTTTAAGTTCTTTAGTTACTTTTTGGTAGTGACTCATACTAGCAATAGGTTATTAGCTTTAAAAATATCACTTTAGTGACCAAAATCAATCAAAATTTAGGAAAAATTTCAAATAACTGTAGCATTAGTTACTGAAAAATAATGACTGCCCAGCTTTATGACTATCTTTAAGATTTTCATTGATTTGGAAAATTAAAATTTGAAAATAGTTAACAAATCACAATGTAAATTTAGCAAATTACCTTCCTTAACTTCTTTTGTTTTATTATCATAGCAAGCCTGGGAATTGAGATGAATCGTGGAAAGAATTCTAGGAGAATATGTAACTTAGAATGGTGATTTTTTTTTATTATTATTTTTTTTTACCATATAGACGATGGACTTATTCTATCTTTCTAGAAACATTTTAGTGAGGTTGAATATGTGAAGATTGAGGGAATATATGGTAACTGAATGTCGGATCCTAGAGAGAAAGATTCGTGTTGGTGAGCTATTGTTGTTATGGTTTGCAAAAGGGTGACTATCTATTCATGTATTTCCTTAAGAGGCATGGTGGCGTCAGGCGTGGAGGTGGCAAGTGATATCTACCGGCCACCAGGGCCAGTCCTGGGTTGAGGCGAGTGAGGCCCGCGCCTCAGGCACAGGACCATAGGGGGCCTTGTTTTGGTTCAATTATTATTATTATTATTATTATTATTTTCCTTCTCTTAAGAACAAGACCAGTTGGCCCAAACCAAAACCAATTATCCAGCCGGTCGAAAGGGCCTAATTTTGGCCCAATAATTTTTTTCCTTCTTAAAAACAGCCGGCCCAAAGAACCAAAACCAATTATCCAACAAGCCCACAATCCATTTACCTTTCAAATTATTTACCTAACCCAATTTACATATCTAATATCCACTATCCAACCCAATTAACCAAAAATTTCCAAAATTCAATCAAAAGCTCCCAAAATTCCCAAAATCAAAAATTTCCCAAAATCTGCTCGATGCCTCTGCAACTCTGCTCGTCAGTCCCCACTCCAGTCCGGTAGTCATCGCCACTCGCCTGTCATCTTCTTCAGCCTTCAGGTTAGTGGCCACTTGCTAGTACGACTTCTGCCGACTACAGCTCTTCTTCAACTCTTCTGCTCATGACTGCTGGAGAATGGTTCGATTTGGAGAGCGAAGTCGTTTGCTGCTTCTGGAATGGTGGAACCCAAGTTGGTGAAGTGGTTTTCAACACTTCATTAACCGAGTAAAAATTAAGAATTTACTATGAATTTATTTCCATTGTTTTTGTGATTTGTGAATAATGTTGGCTGATAAAGAATTTTTATCCTCCACTTGCAAGTGGGTTTGTTAGAAATGTGTGGAATCCATTTATGTTCCAACAGATTCATTTATCATTTCTAGTCCACAGATTGAAATTGGAAAGAAGGTGGGATCAAGCTCATGGTCTCAAGGTGATTGATAGAAGTCCCGAGAGACTTCTTGCATTTGATTCTTCCGTTTTTTGTGTAATGGTCAGGTTATCTTGGGTGTGTAATTGATATCTGAATGGATCACTTTGTGCAGAATGGCTCAATAAGGCTATTATGGGTGCAGGTGTCTTAACTATAATGGGCACGAAAATTTTTAGTGTTTTTGATTTTGATTCCTCGATCTACTTTTATACTTCATTACTTCATTTCTTGAGATTTCTGGATTATGGTTTCTAGCCTCAGTGGGTTAACATGTTTACCACATTGGAAATCTTATTTAAGAAGCCAATTTTGTGTTTATGGAAGCCGTTAGGCCCGTTACTTATATTTGTGTTCCTGTTGGCATCTATCTACTATTGCAATGGAGTTGAAATTTACTGAAATCTGCGGAAGTCTTTTGGCTGGGAATAGTGAAGAAAGTTCACCAATTGAAAACTATGCATTTTAATAATATGTATGTCAGAAGGTGGTTTTGTTGAAAGGCTTGAAAGTGGAGTAAATTTCGTCTTCATGAATAAAATTAATTCAATTACTCTCCCATTGTAAACTATTTCTACCTAGTGATAAAACCCATGGGCGAAGCCGCGAAATCACTAAAGCGTAAAGGCAGACATAAAGTTTTCCTTCAAGTGTATAAAATTTAAAATATCTTTAAAAGATATGTTTAGGGGGCACAAATTAAAATTGGCTTTGTTCAGTAAACTAAAAATAAGAAAAATAAGGAAAACTCAAAACCAGCTGTTATTTATTTCCCCCAATTTCCTTTTACTCTTTAACGTATATTGCATGAACATTATTTATTATCTTTAAATGTAATATGCTGCATGGTAGAGTTTATATATGTAAATAGAGAGTTTGTCCCCAACTTTTGAAATAGAACATTTTGGCCATCAATATTCCATTAATATTGCAAAATTATTTTTAGTTGATAGAAACGGTGCTTAACCCGAAATGGCTCTGCCACCATATTTCATTAAACAAATTAACTTTTTAGCACGTTTGTAAGGATTGTAATTTTGAATGTGATGGTTATAAGAGTCTTATGTATTCAAAAGTCAAATATTAACAAATTATCGAGAACAACTAACTAAAATCGAACAATAAAATCAAGGTTTGCTGCTCTTAAATATTCTTAATTCCTTCACCACTAGATCTTAGGCTTGGCAATCTTAGACATCATATATAATTTTATATAAATTTTTGTTTCAGGCTTGTGAGTTGTGACGAGATCATACTCAACAGTGTAATTCCACAATTATCGTCAAAATTTCACTTCTCAGGTAAGCCATGACTTGCCCTAACTTGTTATTAAAGAGATTGAAAATGTTTGAAGCCTTGTCGACTTATATAATTGCAGCCTGGTCGGCTTATATGATTGGTTATTGTGAGATGAACAATTGCACAGGTGCACATAGTAATTGTATTGGAAATTGTAATTGTGTGATGATTGAGATATTTTGTAATTGTTTTTTAGGTTAATCATTGGACATTAGATACAGACTCATACACTATGCCTCCTAAATATGAGTCTGGTGCTCAAAAGAGGAAAAGGAACCGAAATGAAATTGCATTGATTCAAAGTCAAGTAGGGGATATTAACAAGTACTTCAAAAGCAACAATGTGAATGCGTTGAATGATAATGAAGTAGAGATTCAACCTGCCCATGTTAATGAAGTAGATAGTACGGATGAAGAAGTGAGACAACCTGACTATGTTAATGAAGTAGATGATAAAGAAGAAGAAGTGGTGAAACCCGCCTCTAATAATGAAGAAGATGATAAGGAAGAAGAGGGTTCCTTTTCTCTAAATTTGGATGATCCCGGGAATTGGAAAATCATTGATCAGACAACAAGGGATTACTTAGTTGAAAGGGGTCCAAAAAGAGTTGATAACATTTCATTTCCAAAAGATTGAACAAATAGACATTTCGATTCTTCACAATATAAGCGACTGCTACGAAATGGGCAAACAATTGATAGAAGATGGCTAGTATATTCAATATCTATGGACAGGATCTTCTGCTTTTGTTGCAAGTTATTTAAAACACCTAAAAATGTGACCAAAGTTAGCCAACTAGGTAATGATGGATTCAAAGATTGGCATAATTTGCATCGGTCTATGAAAAGTCATGAAGGAAATGAAGACCATTTATGTTGCATGATTGGCTGGATTGAATTGGAAAATAGGCTTCGAACAAAAATTACAATTGATAAAAGCGTTGAATTGTTGATCGATGCAGAAAGAGAACATTGGAGGCATGTATTAACAAGGATAATCGCTATTGTTAAAAGACTTGCCAAAAATACCTTGCCATTTCGAGAAGATAGTGAGAGGCTAAATGTTGAGAATAATGGCCTATTTTTACAAATGGTGGAAATGGTTAGTGAGTTTGATCCAGTAATGAAAGAGTACCTTCGGCAGGCTAATGCGAGAGAGATTCAATACACGTATCTTGGCAAAAAAATCCAAAATGAGTTGATACAACTGTTGGCTAATGAGGTGAGAAATACAATTGTTAAGAAAGTTAACATGCAAAATATTTCACAGTTATACTTGATTGAACTCCAGATGCAAGTCGTGAGGAGCAGATGTCTTTAATAGTACGATTTGTAGATGATTCAGCAAACTTACCTACAGTTGAGGAACATTAGCTTGAATTTTTGAAGGTAGATGACACAACAGGACTTGGACTTACAACTGAGCTTCAAAAGGCTTTGATCAAATTTGATCTGGATATTGATGACATTAGAGGGCAAGGGTATGATAATGGATCTAACATGAGCGGGAAGCACAAAGGTGTACAAAAAAGAGTACATGAAATAAATCCCCGAGCTTTCTATACTCCATGTAGTGCTCATAGTCTAAATCTAGCATTATGTGATATGGTGAATTGTTGTTCCAAAGCTGTATCCTTCTTCGGAGTGATACAACACATCTACACTTTATTTTCCTCTTTTACCAAGTGATGAAAAATTTTCAAAGATAATGTAAAAAGGGTTGACAGTGAAGCCATTGTTACAAACACGTTGGGAAAGTCATGTTGAGAGTGTAAAACCTATAATGGAGCAAACTGCACAAATAAGAGAAGCCTTACTTGATTTGGCAGAATCTAACGAAGATCCTAAAGTGAAGAGTGAAGCCGAGTCGTTAGCAACACATGAACTTCAGAATTTTGAGTTTTTGCTTGGCATAGTAATCTGGTACAGGTTGTTGCATGCAGTCAATATTGTGAGTAAATTTCTTCAAACTGAATCCATGGATATTGATCGTGCTATCGATCTATTGTAAGGACTTGTTTTATTTTTTGAAGATTATAGAGAAATCGAATTTGCTGTTGCTATGGATGAAGCAACAAAAAAGGCAAACAAAATGGGAATTGAAGCTGTATTTACAGAAAAAAGCATAATTCGAAGGAAAAAACAATTTGATGAAAGTGGTAATGATGAGGTAAAACAATCAGCAAAAGAATCTTTTAGAGTTGAGTACTTTGTTTTTATAATTGATCAAGCTCTATCTTCTCTGAGAGGTCGATTTGAACAATTCAAACAATATGATGACATATTTGGATTTTTGTTTAATTTGAAAAAGTTAAGGGATGCAACTTTATCAAGTTTGTTGAACTCTTGTATGAATCTTGAGAAATATCTTGAAGATGATGGGCATTCGGACATCAGTGGAGATGATTTATGTTTGGAATTACAAGTCTTGAAGATTTATTTACCAAATGAACCAACAAGAGCAATTGAACTGCTGCAATATTTGAAGACTCACAATATTTGTTACCCAAATGCTTATATTGCTTACAAAATTTTGTTAACCATACTGGTTACAATTGCACCTGCGGCAAGAAGTTTCTCAAAATTAAAGTTGATCAAGACCCATCTTCGATCAACTATGTCACAAGAAAGGTTAAACGGGTTGACTATGTTATCAATAGAAAAAGAAATGGTTGGACAGCTAAATTATTCAGATTTGATTGATGTTTTTGTCTCTAAAACGGCAAGACGAATAGTAATCACAGGATCGGCTCTGCCGGCCACACTATGTGAATCGTCGACACCACCATAACGAAGTTACTCAATCGAGCCCCCCAAAAGTTACATTATCATTACACTTCACTGTTGTTCGTGTTGTAAATTTCAATAGAGGATTTTATTACCCCCCATCATCATACCCTTTTTTGATTCATTCATTTGATCAACTTTACTCTCTCTGCTTTATTTTTTATTTTATTTTTTTAAACACATTTCGTTTGATAGCTTATGACTGATTTGCTGGATTGATGATATGAATTATTTAGTACATGTGGAAGTGTATTATTGAGTGAGCATAAATCTATTGGTTATTAAGGTTTCTGGGGTTGATGCTGGGATTCCGGCTATGTCCTTTTAGCATTTAATAATTTAACATTATTTTAATTATAATATTTTTTTTTAATTAACATTATTTTAAATAAAATTTGCTCATTAAAACTCAAAAGTAACAAATTTGGTAGAACTAGTTGTGATTTTTATTATATGTAACTTTTTTTGTGCGTTCATTATATATATATTTTTAATTGTGGTATTCGGTTTAATATTTTTTAAATTTATTTATAAATGCAATATTTTAGTTCATTAAATATAGTATTTAATTTAATAATTTTTGTAATAATATAATTTTTAATTAAATAATTTCTTAAATAAATTAATTATTGAGAAATAAATGATAAGGAAATAAAGATATAACCATTTAGAAGTCGCCATTTAGAAGTATTTATTTGGTATAAAATTTGATGTAACCATTTAGAAGTCACCTCAAATTGCTGAAAAAGGTACACCAATTTGTTGTAAAAGTTACTCCAAATCGGTGTGAACCATTGAAGATTCCCTAAGGTTATTGATCTGAGCTCTTTGAAGGTTGCTTTGGAGTCTCTTGTGAAGGATTTGAAGAAAACTTTTGAAGATTCTTAAATGCTTATTTGGTTAAGCTTTTAACTAGCTTACAACAATTTTTAACTAGCTTATAAGCACTTAAAGCTTTGTCAAACATACATTTAAGTCCGTTTTTGTTTTAGGGTTGGTTTGATATTGCTATGATTTTAGAAGCATCAATTTTAGCAATGCTGAAGAAAGAATTCGTTGTAGGAAAATTAGTCAAGTGTTTGGTGAACTTTTGTTTTAATAATATTGTATCTTTTAGAATAAGCATTTATAGTGTTTGGTAAATAAAAGTGATTTATTTTTGTGTCCATATACAATTAGTAAAATAGACATTGATTATAACGATGTCCATTTTATTATTGTAATTGGTATATTGAAAAATTTATTTTTACTTTTATAAAACTATGTAATGTTATTTCATATTTTTTAAGACAATAAATCCACTATAGTTAATTTAAAATTAAAAAAAAATTCATATCTATTTAATATTAAAATTTATAAAATTACAAAATAAAGGTATAATCCATAGAGTATTAAAATATTCGAATAAATTTAAATAATGGAAGGATGTGTTATTTTTGAAATATCAGGTTTTAATAAAGGTAGGAAAGAAAATGAATTAGTTCAATTAATTAGGATTTAAATGGTATTATAATTATGAACAATTGGAGAAGCAAAAAAGCAGAATCTGATAAGTGATTGTTTTGTTGCTTCTTAAAATTTGCTGCAGAGTGCAAATTCTTTACTAATCAATTTTATCTACAATTTAAAATCTAGGTCTGCCTTGCATCAATCAACAAAATTATGTAATTGAAGAATTTAATTGATACTTATTGTTGATGTTGATTTCCTAATACACATACTTTAAATTTAACCATATTTTTTTGGTTTCATCATTGTCCATGTCTCCCAGAGAGATTGGTGTTGGGAATCTACTTAAAATGCGCAACGAAAATTAAAATAATTTTCGATTTTCATCAGGATTCATCTTTGTGTTTAGATAGAAATTATGATAAAAGTCATACATTTTTCTAGATTTGCAAACCCCTTTACTTTTTCTTTGTACCAATGATCTTGATTCGCCACCCACAGTTGTCCAATTGTCCAGCCTCCAACGATGATCCACACAGAGAATAGATTGCAGTTACCAAGGTTTTCTCCTATTATGCTAGCAAGAAATTATGAGAAAACTATATGGATTGAAAACCCTAATCATGAATTTATATAAGGGCAAATTAGGCCATTACGACCTAGATAATATAAAATTGTTTAATGCGCTCAACCCTTTTAACTTTTTCTACATATGTATTAATTACGATAAAATAAAGAAAGATATTCAGAACCTTCTTTCTTTCAAGCTTTGCTCTCACTATTCCAATTTCTCATTTCTCACAGCCTTCCCCTTCCTCGAACTGCCCTTCGCAGTTTAGGCCCAATCTTGTTGCCATATTGTTGCCCCTCTCCGTTCTCTCCTACTTGGATCAGTCGGAGATTGCCAAGCTCGCACGGATCAACCATGCTTTGTGAGCAACCGCCTCCAGGAATTTCAGTCCTTCTAACAATAGGTCCAATGATTGCTCCTGTCTTTGTTTTCTGCATCTTTGTTGCAAGAAAATTGATGGATGATGTAAGGATGATTTTAATGGCAATTGGGGAATCGAAATTATGGCTCTAGTAGTTGTTTCATGCTATTTGTAAGTCCTGCAATTTTCATTTTCATGAATTTTATGTTTGTTTCTCATTGTTCTACTATTTCAACCTATGAATTCTCACAATTGTTGTCTCCAAAATTTGTAGCAGTATAATATCTTAGTTATTTATTTTTTTTTTTTTATGAACAATTTTAAAGCCCTGTAGAACTCTGCGATGTTTGACTTGCTACTTCAAGATGAACAAATGATTTACTACTTGTCATCCGATTTCTATTTTCTCTCTCTTTTATTAACACATTGACATTTCTAACCAAAGCAAATTAAGTTACTTGTTGATTTTCTTCAAGTTGAATATTACATGGGTATAGTATTTTGCTTATACTTATTTATGGTGACATAGTTTTGAAATGTTAATCTGATTGTTTAGCATACACGAGTGGCTATATACTATTTGAATTCTTTTCACTGCATAAATCTCTTTACTTTCGTTGGTTTTTTGTTTGAATCCACTCCCCATATATCATTCTTCCTCGTTCCCATGATAATTTTTGACAACTTATTGCAAATTCGTTCTTGCTGATATGACGTTGATTCTTTAAAACCTTTCGAAGAATGTTATAATGCAATAACTCTAATATGCTTCATCTCTTTCTTCAACTAATTTTTAATTTATTGCACAACTTAAGTATAGCTGTCTATTCATTATTTTAGGTCTTTGCTAGATGGCATAGAGTGCTTAAGCTGTTGTTTTGTGCCAAGCAATATAGCACAAGAATAGAAGTTTGGGCAGGAAAAACACTAGTGAGGAAGTCGAAGAGATAGACAATCGGAGGTGTTGGTGGAAACATCTGGCAACGACGACTGCAACTATTGGTGTAGGCATTGACTTCTTCCAGCAATAGAGATTGAAAAAAACAAAGCTTATTCTCCTATTGGGATCTTCAATGAGTGGAGGTCAATGGGTTAGCTAAGTTGCTAGATGATGTGGCGGTGAATTGAATTAAAGATACTTGAGGTTTTGAATGGTGTTTTGTCGGTAAATTGACTCAAAACGCTTGGCAATAAATGGAGAAAGTAAAGAGACAATGGTTGTGTCACCGTTTTTTTTTCCCCTCAAAATTTCTATCACTTTGTTGAACTAATTCGATTTCAATGTTTTGCTTGGTGCTCACTTTTTTGAACTTTGTCACTTTATCTAGTGATTGTCACTTTTTAGAATTTCTATACTTTCTTTTTGTTTTACTACTTTCTATCACTTTCTTGAAGTTTCTATAACCTTTTTAAGCGGCAAATATCAATTTTGAATAAAAGTAACATTGTTTGTCACACCTAACTTTAAAAGGTGACAGTGTTCGTCACATTTTTTCTTTCTTTTTTTTTCATTTTTTTTTAACTTTTGGCTTTTTTTGAATTTCTTTTTTCTTAATTTTTGTTACTTTTTAAATGTTTGTCACATCTTTGAATTTTCTATCACTTTTTTGTATTGTGTCACATTTTAGAGTAATTTACTTTCTTTGATTTTTTGTCACTTTTTGAGCGTATGTCACTTTTTTTAAATTTTTGGTCTTTTTTTTCTATTTTCTCTCACTTTTTTAGAAATTGTGTTACTTTTTGACTATATGCACTTTCTTTAAATTTTCGTTACTTTTTCAAATGTTTTATCACTTTTTTTGAATTTGTATACTTCTTGATATATATCTACCACTTTCTTTGAATTTCTTACTCTCTTTTTTTTTTGGAATTTCTGTCACATTTTTTAATTTTTGTCACTTTTTGAATGTTTCTGACTTTTTTATTTCTATCACTTGTTTTGATTTTCTATCACTTTGTTAATTTTATGACAATTTTTATTACTATTGCTTTTTTAGTATTTGTCACTTTTTTAATTATAATGATACATGAATTATTTTAGGATAACTATTAGTATTAAGAGACTGGGAATAGTATTGCTCTCGTTTTATGGATAGTTTTAAAATGTTAACAAAAATTTAAAATACGATTGTGGTTATTATTTTGTTTTAGAATTTTTTTCATGATTTCTGAATTTTATTTGTTTCAAATTAATTATTGAATTTTTATTTTATTTTTAATTCATCATTTCGTCTATATTAGACTATTAGTTTATTTAACAAATATAAGAAGTAATAGTTCTAGTGGCTAAAAAGAGAGAGGATGGAGTTGCGTTAGTGGCTGACAGGGAAGAAATTCATGTTTCATGATGGTAAAATGGAGGGTGGAGTTACATTGGTAAAGAAAAATAAAAACTGCCAGCTGTGGTAAAAAATTTACCGTATTTTTCACTTCAAAAAAAAACTTTTAACATGATTTTTCTAAATACCCTCAATTTTATGGGTACTTAT